TATATATATATATATATATATATATATATATATATATATATATATATATATATATATATATATATATATATATATATATATATATATATATATATATATATATATATATATATATATATATATATATATATATATATATGTATATATATATATATATATATATATATATATATATATATATATATATATATATATATATATATATATATATATATATATATATATGTATATATATATATATATATATATATATATATGTATATATATATATATATATATATATATATATATATATATATATATATATATATATATGTATATATATATATATATATATATATATATATATATATATATATATATATATATATATATATATATATATATATATATATATATATATATATATATATATATATATATATATATATATATATATATATATATATATATATATATATATATATATATATATATGTGAAAGGATTTAACATCTTGATAAGTAAAGAATGAAGAATTTTGTGTCACATATTATTCGGTGATATTTGGTCAGAGTGTTAATCAGTGTTAGAAATGCGAGCATTTTTTTACATTTTTCCTTTCGACATATGTGTGCGAGAAAAGACTTTTATTTTCATTTACTTTCGTGGTGTTATTCCTCTCTTCTCACGTTGGTATTGAGTGCTGTCAAGTGTGCAATTCCTAGCATGTTACGAAAGCTTATGGCCTTTGCTTATTATTTATTGCCTTACTTATTTTATCAATCAATGAAACTAAATTCAGATGGTGGATATAGCAAGCAGGACAGGAGGTTTGTTCATAAGCGACTTATAGTATAAAAAAGTAGCCAGCTACATCTTTATTGATTTTAATAAATAAAATCATAATACTTTTAATAATATATATATTTCTGTCTATTGCATGTGTGGATTCTGCAATGGATAGCTGATCGAAGTGAGTAATTGAAGAGACGAGTTCGAATTAAAGTCGAATTTCATTACATTCATTTTCACATAAATGGATTCATCTCCTCTCACTCAGCCATGGGTTAAATAGTAGAGCAGATTGGAATCCTTAGCCTTATTTAATAATCACACTGAGAGAAGGAGAAAAATTCAATTCAAAACCTTACGTAGCACTCGATAAGTACATACCATGCAGCTAATGATATAATCGTCGGCTTTACAAGGACTAAATTATCAACAATCTGACAGGTACATTTTCGCGTTTTTATTCTTTAAAAAAATCTGTATATTAATACGCTTCCACACTTACCCGAGAGGCAAATATCAAGAGAGGGGGACGTAGAGAGTAAAACAGAGAGAGAGAGAGAGAGAGATAGGGAGATAGTAAGGAGATACACAAAAAGAGATTGGCGGAAGTGTCATCTTAGATAAAGAGTGTTTTATTTAATTTTTGCAGTGAGGAGTTAAATCATCTTTCTTGACAGAACGATCTGTTGAAGACAAATTAGCCGCTGAATTGCAAATGATCTTTTCAAATTAAAATAGTTCATTTATTTGTTTTCCTTTCATACATTTCGTTACAATACAATAATTCTTGAAATATATTTTAAATAAAATTTACATAATTTTAAAATAAATCTCAAAGTCCCTAATCCATGCCTGTGCTTAATGTTCTGGGTAACATGTCCGTAGGATCAGTGATGGCCCAAGGATTGCTGGCACACCAGTCAAGTTGAACTTCAGGGCTCTTACAAGTATAATTCTTTCAGAGAGAAAAACTGAGAATAACTGAGAACTGTAGAATAAACGAGTTTATTATAATATTCAACTTAATACAAGATAAGTAAAACCTTCATTATATTACGTAAAACATTTTTCTAGCCTTTAAATCTGTAAATCTTTTTTCATGTTTTATAAGCTTTAGATCTGGAAAATCCCAAACACATGACATGGCGGCATGATGAGCCCCTTCGGCCTTAAAGGCACCCTAGACAACTACCTTGAAGGCACCCCCCCCGTAAGACTGCCCTTGTAGCCGGCCCTGCATAAGTAGCCAACCCAAAACTAGGACACGTGTTATGCGTTTATGTGGGTCCGAGTTAAACACTTAAACTACACTATTTATAAATAAATATACAGAACTGAAAAAAACATGGGCAAAAAAATCTGTATATTAATCCGCTTGTCACTTTCGGTCCCGAGGCAAACCTAAAGAGAGAGGGATATTGAAAGTAAAATATAGAGGGAAAGAGAGAGGCATAGAGAGTAGACCACATAAAAGAGAGAGTAGGACGTAGAAAGACAAAAAGCGAATGCAACACAGAGAAAGACGGGAGTGTGTCATCTCAGATAAAGGCAGTTATTGGTTGTTAAATCATGTTTCGTGATCTAACGATCTGTTGAGGATAAATTTGTCCCTGAACAACAAGTGACCTTTTGGAATTAAAATATTTATTTAAGTTAAATTTGTGAATTTGTTATAGATTAAGGTTGTTTTTTTTTTTTTAATTTATATATTGAAAATAGAAACGTTTCGGATTCTCGTCAATTTAAAAATGGATCACCTAAATGAGGATTAGAGAGAGAGGGGGAGTGAGAGAGAAAGAGAGAGACAGAGTGTGTCTTGGAAATTCAAAGAAAATCAAACTCATCCAGACGGAAGCAGTATTAAAATAAGCTTGAACGTTATGGAGAACACTTGAAAAAGAGTCTTGCTTTTATTAAATGTTCATTGAAAAGTCAAATTTTATAAATAATAATATTAATAATATAATATAAATCTATATAATGTTACCACATGATTCGATGTCCCTGTTATTCAATGTGAATCCTATCTACTGTCCTCCTGATTACTCTTTCTTCTTCCCGCTCATTATTAATCTTTCTGTTCCTAATAATTCAACACGCTAATGATAACCATTTTGGGGCGCACGGAAGGTGAGCCATCTAAGGCAGTGTCAGTATTGGAATTGGCAAGTTTGCTGAAAAAGGTGCTGGTACAAAATCACCAGATGCATCCAGGTGATGCACTGGTGCAAACATGCAAGTGTATGAATAGCAATAATGATAAATTAGTCGCAGATTAACACCATTGTTTTCGCTCCATCTCATAACATTTTAAATAGCAACTGCAACAAACCATGCTACCTCAGTATGTCCATATTATGTTCATCGTTCTCCATCGACCTCACTCTGTATATCAGTCTTTACAGATTATTTAACACGTGTGCGTGCAGAATATTTGAGTTATGTCTTTCTGCATCGGCCAGTCTCTGGTAATTTTTATCTTGATCATATGGCTTATTCGTTCACCGATTATAATCCAAATAAATGAGTCAACATTAGTAGAAACCATTATTACAAAATAGTTTAATAGATGTCGAAATTGCTCATAATCATTTCCTAACTACATTTGTTAGTAAAATGAAGGCAGTTCCAACATTATTTTTTATTAGACGTAAATTGGGTAAATAAAGACTGGCATAAAAAGGAAGATGATGATTTATCTAATATCTGAATTATCTATTCATGATAAACCTTGCCAAAACTATGATCTGGAATTGGAACGAAAGCAGTGATGAAAGGTACCATGAATCCCTGATCAAATTCAGAGTGGGGAATTATTAAATACTAAACACTTCGAATACATCAGTGTATGGATCAGTTATAACAATTTTAGTATAAGGAAAAAAGAAAATGGAATATGTGCTGGAGGTAGTTTATCCCAACATCGCAATTCGCTACCAAACCATTAACTTAAATCTCTAGTAATGTTCTTAAATAGCTTGGTCAGATCGGGACTTTCATATGGATGTCATGCATGGCGCAAAACCCGTTTAAAATATCTAAATCATCATCTGTATCCAATCGCTTTTTAAGATCAAAGGTGAAAATGGTTTTGAGCGAGAGAAATCTGTTACGACAACCCTTAAGGCAACCTTGTGGCTTAGTGCAATCACAAAGAACTGCACCAAATAACATAAACCCCAACACTTGTGGACATTCAGCAGTAACAACAGCTAAAATGGATAATACGTGTAACGTGGTGATAAATTAATGACATAATCAAGAAGAGAACATTCCATATAATTCAAATAAACAGTCCTGTATTGGACGATAAACTACATCCGGCAGCCATGCCTCTGATCGGGAGAATGGAGGTATTTAGAAGTATGGAACAACCTCTTCTTTGTTGTTGTTCACAGGTCCTCTCTGATCCGGGGTAGTAGCATCTGTTAGGGTCCCCGCTGTGAGAAAATGGTAAACCCCCAAACAAGAATCAAAACACTAGGTACTTATAGAAATACATTTTCATAGTAAAATACCAGCAATACATTTTATAGAAAAAGGAACAACAATACATTTTATCGTAGAATCACAGACAATACATTTTATAAAAAGACCAACAATAAATTTTATAGCAAAATGAATAACATTACATTTTATAGTAAAACTGAAGACATGATATACATTGTAAAAAATAACTTTTCTATGTTTAATCACATTTCTTGTAAGCAGAAACAACTTTTTCCTCCTCGTTTATTTTGTAAAAATATTTAGTAAAAAATGCAGTTGAGTAATTGTAATTTAATTATAAAATAATGTCATTCCCTTGAATTAATTATAAAGCATGTATTTTCATATTTAGATTTCGTTATTAAATAACCCATATGTATTGATATGCCGCTAAACAAAAACAATCAAACAAAAAAACTATATTCAAGTAAAAGTTTTAGATGAAAAAATACCATCAGTACTGGTAGTAGCAATAAAAGCTACTAGACTTCGGAAACCTATGTTCCTGAAAATTTGTTTTAATTAAAGATTCTATAAATTTCAACTGAAAAATCAATGAATCTCGAATGTTTCCTTATCCGGAAACGGCTCGTATTACCATTAGCATTAACATTGCATTTTGTCTATGGATATTAATTACGTAATGAACATCCTAATCTAGCATACTTGTGCTTTTATTGAGACATTAATTGCACGAATCTGATGCATTATAAAGAATTTTTTTTAAAATTTCCTGTTTCATTGCTTAAAGATACTTGGCGACGCCACAGGTGAAGCTGGATAAGATAGAGTACTTTCCTTTTCTTCATCAATGAATTGTACAAGCGGTTCACGCCTGAATGATGTAGAATTTTCAATTACGATGCTACCTGATATTAGCGTTTTTCATTTTGAGATTGGCTGCTGACACACTTCGCCATTTTTCTGAATAACGAGATATTACTGACACATTCTAATTTTATAAAGACATTAAATGACTTTACACACGCACTGACACACACACAAACACAGGCACATTCACACACACACACACATTTTCATATATATATATATATATATATATATATATATATGCATGTTTCATTAAAAACGACAGAGAAGGTACTACGGTTAAGCTTTTTATTTAAATTTTCTTGTGTTCGAACAAGAGCTTTCTTTTCTGGACAAAGGGTGTGTAAAAACTGTGCAAATGTTTTATATTTCCGAGCGCTTTCGGCTATACCTTTAGACATTATCAAGGATGATTCGATTTTCAGCCTAATTGAGTGTTTGCATTATGTGTATGTCTTAGTGTGTGGTAGGGATGTTTTTAATTTCCGAATACGGTTAGCACATTGTGGCCTTGTTCGTAGTTAATATTGTTAAGAGTTGTTTTTTTTATTATTAAAGCTTCCATTATTTTTAATCTTTTTTACAGGTGGATGCAGTTAATATTGTGTTTTCTACTAGTATGTTTCTAATGGAGTCTGGTAAATTTGTGTGTGTGTTGAAATGGGTTCTAATGGTGCTGTATTCAGATAGGTGTAACGTAAGACGTCTGGATAAGCATGTAGTTGTGTAACCGATGTAATTATTTATGAGTCCGGTTTGAAGGGGCATTTGAACTCATAGATAGTATTGGTTCTTTGTAATTTTGACTTAGTTTTGACTAATTTTGAGGATAAGCTTAGCTGTCTTAAATTCTTTTATAATAGATAATTAATTTTATTTTTTTATTCGAGTCAATTGGAGTAGTGTATTTCTTTATAATACGTCTTAGTGAAGATTCGTCTTGTTTGTAATTAATGTGCATTTGGTTTTTGTAATAAATGTGTATGTAATATATATATATATATATATTCAGGCTTACGGCAACATCATGCTTAACCATCGGCTCCTGTAAGATCACCGAAGTAACGTCTAGCCCCGTCAGATGGGCGACCGCTTGCGAATATTAGGTGCAGTAAGCTTGGATTTGAAGTGGGGTTTATTGGATAATGGCTCTGAATTGGAACTCGGAGAGCCGAGTTCCAATTTCAGTCGTGTTCGCTATATTCATTTACACGCAGATACCCTTCAGGAAGGTATGAATCCACCTCCTCTCCTTCTCAGCTATGGGTTAATGCATGTAAACTTGTATCAGTAAACTACTATTATCTACGAAAATAAAAAAAAATATTGCGTACAAAATATTTAAATTTTGGCAGTAAATGACCCGTAGAGTTGTTGATATGCCGCTAAACAAATGCAACCAACCAATCATAAATTTATTAAAACGAATCTTTCCTCTTGTGTTTATAATGATGTGCATGCAAACATATATAAATGATTTATATAATATATATTTTTTATAGAAATAGATCAGGGTTTTTCTTTTTTTAATACCATGTCCCTCCAGTGGGGAAAGCGATTATGGCTCCTCTACAGATTGTTTTTCTTTCCTTCTTTCTGGGAATTGTCACGCATTCTTGAGAAATACAGTGAAGTGGGTTCCTGGGGTCGTCTCCATTAATTGAAATTCACTGCTTGCCTTCTCCTAGAAATGTTACCACCAAAGGCTGGATACCCCTGTTTACCCTAATATTTAACCCATATTTAACTTCATACATTTACCAATGGCATTAATGTGAAACTGAATGTATCATAGAGTAAAAAGGAATTTAAACTCGACTAGCCGATACCAATTTCCGCGCAGATAGATAGATAGATAGATAGATAGATAGATAGATAGATAGATAGATAGATTGGAATACACCCAGATAGATAGATAGATAGATAGATAGATAGATAGATAGATAGATAGATAGATAGTGAAAATTTCTCCGATTTAACCAGTAGAGAAAACAATATTTATGAATAAAAATGACAATAGGAAAACTGGTAATTGCTGACGCGTTTCGTCCAACGTGGACTTTATCAAAGCAAAATACGAATTTTCGTATAGATAGCTAGATAGATAGATAGATAGATAGATAGATAGATAGATAGATAGATAGATAGATAGATAGATAGATATGAACAGACTGAGATTGATAGATAATGAAAGTACAGACATAGATTGATATGAACAAACTGAGATAGATAATGAAAGTACACAGATAGATAGAGAGCAAGATAGATAGATAGATAGATAGGTAAATTACAGAGAGAGAGAGAGAGAGACAGAGAGAATGCTAGATAAAGAAAACACAGAAATAGATATTTTATTATTTTCCCAAGAGTACATCATATCATTAGATCATTGAAAGTTATATTAAACACAAGATAAAACAACAAAAACAGCTTACAACACCAAAGAATAACGGGACGTTTATCGATGATAAAATCGCTATAATCACTTTTCCAGAATATGATCAAGTCTTACACAAAAGATAATTATTTTTGTGGCTAGGATTAACGTTACCAGAGTTGACAAAAAATAAACGATTTTTATTCAAAATTATAAAATTTAAAAGAATCTTCTCTCAACTAATAAAATTGCAGTGAATATTGTCTGTTTTTCCAGGTCTTCCCTTATCTGATTTATATCTGAAAAAATGTTATTTTATCTGAAGAACTATTTGAATGTTAATGTCCCTCCTTAAAATTATAGAAAATTCAAAACTGTTCGTTATTTGCGAAGATATTCATAACTTATCTAGAAATCCAGCTATTCCTATTTAAGCTCCCGTTTTTGTTGTTTTTCATACGGGTTCCTTTCATATCTCCTTTAACTATTTTTTTTTTCTGGTAGCATATGCTGAAATAACTTTTAATACTCAAAGCACTATATCGCTCATCAAAATTCCCGATCGCCCGCCATTTTCTGTTCAGTTACTCATCGCCCACATAACATTTGAAAAATCCCATCAATGGGCAATACCGTCGTGATTAGGAAACCCTGCCCTAACGAAAAGAACTTCAGACCGGATAGTCACCATAATGCAGTGTTGATTCCTATGTCCATGCTCTCTATATCTGCAGACGCTCTATATCTGATAAAGAAATTATCTCACTTTAATATAGCAAATTTTAAACACTATGGGAATGAAAAAAAACGATATTTACAGATTAACTAATAATAAAAATTCTAATTGAAATAAGAACAACCAAATTATGCCAAGGAGAAGCAATTTATAAAGCAATAATATATACATATAGGCGAAAATGATTGACAAATAAAATATCTTTTCTTCCTCTTAAAAGACATAAACAATTTTGTCTATGCTTAGAATATTGCTGTCATATATGGCTCGCCCCCGCCTGCTATTTACCCTGAGCTCTTTGATAAAATCCAAAGAAGAATCAGCAATATTATTAGTTCTGATCTGGCAGTTCGGTTTCAGTTACTTTCCCACCGCCATAAGGTTGCTTCTTTGTGTCTATTTTCTTACTACTTTCATGGTAATTGTTCAGATGAGCTCTTCGCTATGGTACCTAAACTTTTTTTAGTTTAACTGCAATGCTAGATTGGCGGCAAGGTCTCATCAATTTAATGTTGAATTGGTGAGATGAAACCGTAAGTTTTATGATAAGAACTTCTATCGGATTTGTCGCTTCTAGAACTCTCTTCCAGCTTTATAATTTCCAGCCAACTTTAATCTGCAAAAATTTAAATGTAATGTCAATCGTTAACTACTGACCTCCTGATTACTTTTTTCTCTTCCTGCTCATTATTAATGTTTCTATTTTTAATTCTTCCACACCCAGTAACTCCTTGTGTCTTAGTGGATTTATTGCCTTGCGATTAAATAAAATGAAGAGGAGAATCATTAGAATAAATTAATTTCTTAGTTGGATCAACAAAGTTTCAGTACTCTTACGTATATAAATGAATAAATCATAATATTAGAAAATATTTCACCAGGGCAACATCTAGTAATCGTGCAGAATGAGTTGAAGGAGAAGATATCAGGTTTGGATAATATAAATGGTAAGAGGCGTGAACAGAAAGAAATTCTACTCGGTCCCTGTCTCGAGCGACAATGAACTACTGTCAAAATAGTACCGTCGAATAAGATATGTGATCTAAATGGAAGATAAGGAGGTAGGAAATTAATATTATTAGGATAAATTTATTTCACGGTGATCGAGCCTTGATTGATTTATTGATTAATTAGTTTCTTGACGGTTTATCAACTCCTTGAAGGTTATTTAAAGCCAGAAAATATTATAGATTGTAAGAATTTTGTTAAAGATAATAATGGTTTAGTGGTACAATTCTTACTCAATAGTTCAGAGCTGGGGTGAGATGCTATTTGCACATAATTAAATATAACCCAACAGAAATTGGAACTCGGCTAATTGCGAGTTCAATCTTTGGGCAGTACAGTGTCTAGTTGGACTCAGCGGAAATAGGTGAGTATTAACTGAGCAGTACTTAAAAAAGGACTAGATATGGGAAGTGGAACGAGAAAATATACTCAAGTAGGTTACACGACTTGCACATTCAAGCTTATAGCACCTGGTATTCCCAAGTGATCACCCACCTAGTTACTGACAAGGCTCGATGTTTCTTTACTTTGGTGATGGTACGGGAACCGCAGTTTAAACCTGATGTGGCCGTAAGCCATTGAAATTAGATTTGAAGAGACAAAAATGGAAATATTCAAGGAAGGATCCGCTCTAGAGACTATTCCATAAATTGTATGTCCGTTATATATATATATATATATATATATATATATATATATATATATATATATATATAAAAAGAAAGAACAGTAAGATATAAAATCCGGTGTTCTTATAGATATTTTATTTTTACAAAATAGTGCTCAATGTAAATTTACAGAGCATTAATATTATAAATTAATTGATTTAAAATATGGTTATTTTCGCTAACACAGTTCCAACCATGTTTCAAAAAATAGAAGCTAAAAAACCCCTAATTTTATTTTTGCAATTAAATTAAAAGCATTAGTTTCATTTCATCTTCAAGCGAATTTTGGAGTAACTTTTTAAAAATTACCGGGTTTTAAAGACACAGCTAAAATCACATTTCCATGGTTACAGAATATTCTACTCAAATTGAACAGGGGGTGTCTAGATTTTTCTTATGTCAATATCATTGTATCAGTTATTAGCTACAATTTGGTCAGGGGTAGGGATGTATTTTACACTGAAACCTGACATCAGTTGAATGGATGTCGTCTGAATTTTTTTTTTTTTTTTTTTAAAAAAATTGTTAACGGTAAAAAAATTTCAACGTCATTTTTTAAATTTAAAGATTTTTTTTCTAATACTTTTTATTTAACTACGATTTGAAATATTTTCCTTTTTAATTTTTATTTTACTATATTCTTTTTAAGAACAGTTAAATGTATTAGAATCCATTATATTATGTAGGATTATTTTAACATTAAGTTTAAGTATGTATATGAGGTTACATTTTTTTTTGTATATGACTATGACAGCAGAAATGGTTACTTAATTTCACTGATTCAGTAAACTTTTCTTTTATATATAAACCTAGTATTATAATATTTCACATGTAAGTACTTAGGACATGGGTCATTCAAAAGCTTACATCTTATGGTATTTCATATTAATTTTATTAATTGATATATATATATATATATATATAAATCTGCCTGGAATTGTATATCCTTTATGTAAAAAAGCTGTCTGAACTTACCTCTTACTTTTGATATAAGGAGGAAATATGGTTGATTCGATTCATAAAAATGGTACGAGAAATTACATCTGGCAGAAAAGTCTCTGACTGGGAGATTGGAGCTTTTGAGGATCGTGGAACCACCTCTTAATTGCTGTTGTCCCCAGATCCACCCTGACCCGGAGTGGTAGCATCTATTAGGGTCCTTGCTATGGGAAAATAGGGAGATCCTAAATTAAAATCAAAACACTAGGAAAATATGAGAATACATTTTTTTAGTAAAAGTACACTAAATTTGTAGAAAAATACCAACAATATATTTTCATACTAAAATGACCTGAGCACTAAACAAATGTATAAAAATATATTTTTATAGCAAAATTACAAGCAATATATAAACATGAATTGCTGTTAATTTTACTATAAAATATATTTATATAATTTTTTAAAAACTGTATTGTGATGGAAGCCAACCATAATTGTCTCCCCCTTGATTAGTTATAATTGCATAAGCTCCACCCTGTTTGTTGGCAGAGTTGAGTTATAGTTGAATATTGCTTCAAGTGACGTTTCTACTTCGTTTGTTTTTCATTATGTGTATATGTTTATCATCTACAAGCTATATATGTGACATACATATATTTACATTGAAAGTACAAAATTATGTACACAATATCTGAAGTTGAAGGCATAACATTGAGTTCAAGACATATGAAACTGATATTATAAAATTGCATAGAAATATTTAGAGTTCAGCGTTAAATAACCCGTGAAGAGTGATATACCGCCAAAGACAAAATCAACCAAAACAAACTAAGGAAAAAGGGATGCATGTTATAATACTTAAATGGTTGTATGTTAAAATTCTTAATCCTAACTCGTTGCTATTTCGGCTTCATCAATAAGGAGAATTGTCTTTAACTGAAGAGCATAAGGACTTCAAAATGGTTGGAAAGAAAAATGACTTTCGGCAGGCTGCAATGAAAAATTAATTTCGAATAATCCAAATCTGGATGAAAATAATTAATTTCAAAAATCCATTGCAGTTTAATAAATATATAAGAATAAGATAAATATGAATGATATAAACAATATATCTAAAATATTAAATCACAATGAAGAAAATAACAACAATAATAGAACTAATGCTAACAAATGAAGAGCAGGGTCTAAAGACGACAGCAAAGATTTGACTTCATCACGCATCGTAGAGAGCCACTTACGGGGTGCAATGGTTGGCAAGCTTTTTTTGCTAGATCAGTTATAACTGAGTAGTGAGTCCGATCCTCACCGGCTGTTTCATACATTCGGCCGTTTATCGCATCTAAGCCGCACTTAGAAAATCACTTTGGGCACTTCGACGGGATGTGATATTTAGCGAGATTGTCTCGTTGGATCAATTACGACTGTGTAGTGAGTTCGATCCTCACTAAACGCTCCACCCTTTCGGCCGTGTATCGAATATAAGCCTCCGCACGACCGATAATTTTTATCTGGTGGTAACATGGCTCATACAGTTGCTTGTTAAATTTTTGAAGAATTGGGGAGTTGTTTTTTTTTTTAATAAAATAACTACTGTGTACTTTCGTTACATCTGCTCCAGTATCTAATTTAAAATGAATTACTTTACTACATAGCTTTGTTGTAAAAAAAAAAAAAAAGGTTTCGTTTCGAAGTTCCAAGCATCAGAAAGAGGCCGGAGGGTACAACGGCCGAAACGTTGTGAATATGGCAATGAAGATGAAGATAACAGTCCGACTAATGTAAATAATCATAATACCTCATCTCAGTGATATAGACAGGCTTTGTAGTAACTTTAACTTCATCTTGTCTGGCTCCTTCCGTGACCGCGTTAATTCTATTTTTAGTAGTAATAGACTCAAGGACGTTGTGTGGTTCTTCCTGCGCCATTTCTTAAATTTTAGACCTGCCACTTTTTTTGCACAATGTTCTTTTCTTGAATACTTTCGGCAATTTGTATTTTTGGCTGGACAGCCGTTTAGAGTGTGTGATGGAATATTGCCACATTTATTTATACTTTTTTTTTTCTGGCGTATTGCATCTTGAGGCTTCTTTTTATATTTATTTGGTGTTACTCTGCTAACTTTTGCTTCTTTTGAATTTGTGCCTAATGGAATATTTTGAGTTTGTTGCATGGACGTTTCATAGGCTTTACCTATATTTATATGTCTGTCTAGGATAAGCCTTTTATCATTTAAATGCTATTCCCTGACTGTATCCTCTTTAACCCTTATTTGGTCTCAAATTAGTATGTCTTGCATTTCCCCAAAATGATCGCAGCAACATTTGTCTCTACCCTCCCTGAAACTTCTTGATTTCGAATATGAAACGTGTAAGCTTTTTACGCTTCCTGGGTTTCTCCAACAAAAAAATTTTCGAATTTCGTTATTACTATTCCAAATTTTCTTTTTACTCTTCATTATCGTCAATTTCCCCCTCTAAATGTCGTATGCATGTTCTCCTATTATTAACAAAAAGATAGATATAGTTTCGTATATACTGTCAGGTTCTTTGTTGAGTCGATTGGCTTTTGAAGAATTTCGAAAAAAAAACTTTTCCAGTTAGTATTTACTTGACTCCCACTAAGTCAAGATGTGACACAAGGTCGATTAACGTGGGAGACCCGAGTGTTTCCACTCAAAGGCCACTGGTCAAAATTGGTCATAGCTTGTCCAAGCTGGTCAGAGCCTAGTCAAAGCTGGTCATGACTTGTCCTAACAGGTCCAGGCCGGAGCCAGTCCAAGCTAGTCAAAGCCTTGATCCTTCGGCCAAGAAACTTTTCCAGTTAGTTGACACATTCCCTGATATAACCACTTTTGCAGGAGGTTGGACATTATCAGCAAATTACCTTTGGTTATCGTGTCCTTGTTCAGAATATTGTACATTCAGACACGACGTCTATTAGACCAAACATCTTCTTTTTTTTTCTTAATGAAGAGAACTAATTTGGTTTTCTTTTTACTTTATAAACTGTTCGTAGTTTAAATACGAAGAAAAAAAATTTTGCAAAAAAACAAATGACTTTACTTACAGTTTCTTGCAATTTCAATTCTTTTTTAGTTCACTTACATTTTCCAATGCCTGTTTTTCGTGCTAACATTTTTTTCTTTCGGCACTATGTATCTTAAGATCATTCTAACACACTGTGGCGTAATTTAAGTGTATGAACCTACAGGTAGGGGAAAGAAGAGAAGATGAAATCTTTAACTGACTGTTTTTTTGTTTTTTGTTTTGTTTTGTTTTTTTTGATATCCAAACTCGTTAACGCATAGAATTTAAAGATTCCCCTCTAGGATTTATATATATATATATATATATATATATATATATATATATATATATATATATATATATATATATATATAAAAAAAAACACACCACTTTAAGGTTCCATTATAATAATTTATTTCACCAGAGCCCTAAATTATTAGCTCTGGATTTACATTGAGCTCTTAGGATTCCATCATCCTTGGGACTACCCATACGGATTACCAAGTTTTTCATAACTTAACTATATATATATATATATATATATATATATATATATATATATATATATATATATTTACTTATTTAGCTTTCAATCATTTTGGATTTTACGCATTCAGTGTCAAGGCCAGAGATCTTCAACTTTCGAGTCAAACATCTACAGATATCCATCCTCTTTTTTTATTTTTAAATACATCATTTTTTTTGCCTTTGATGAAAAGACATAGACTAGCAATTCTTAACTGTGATAAATGTATCTTATCAATTGTTAGAAATAATTAAATGCTAAGTTCCTGATTATATGCTTTCCCCTTCGGAAGAGTCTGAAAATATTGGTGGCTACTTCACTCTTTCGTTTACAAGACTAACTGAATAAAAATATTAGGTGAATTAAATGGAAAATGTCCAAAGATTTCCTTTCATACATCCATAGACTATTTCA